AGAGCTGTGTGCGTACGTGTGTGTGTGTGTGTGTGTGTGTGTGTGTGTGTGTGTGTGTGTGTGTGTGTGTCTGTGTGAGCGCGCGCGTGTGTATTTAAAAAAAAAAAGCGGTCTAAAAAGCTTCATGCATGGATTTTTGAATCTGTTTTCATCACGGGCAGATGTGGTACAAGTACAGAAACTGGTATAAAAAAAAAAACAACATTCTGGTCAAATAGAAGTACAGTGGTGCCTTGGAAGCCGTTTAATTCATTTCATGGCCACACTCTCGAATCTCAAATTATATTTTCACATTGAAATGAGTAAAGCTGCCATTCATCTGTTGTAGCATCTCCCAAAAAAAAAAAACAAAACTTTTTTTGTTCTCATGTGGATTTTACAGAACTGGGGTACTCGAGTAATATGACTTGGACTCAAGTCAAGTTATATGCTTTGTGTCTTGTGACTTGACAAAAACTTATTTAAGACTCAACGTTCCCTCGGCAATCATGAGATTCGACTTGACTTTGAGATCTATGCATTGTACTTTTGTGGTTGCGAGCGTGTCGGCTATATTTGATGTGGCCGGACCGTCGTAAACAATTGCATGTCAACTTGTCCGAACTTCGCAAAGTAACAACCTACAAAGTGGCCATTTAGTCTCTTATTCACCCATTTACGCACAATAATAGATTTGGGCACCACAAACAAATTATGTCATTTTAAAATCTGATGATTGTACACGTTTACTCCCACTTTCAACATCTTTCAATCATTATCATCTCAGTAACAGTGTGACATTCACACACCAAAAAATATTCTTCTAAATAAATAGTGTCCATTCATATCATCCTCTTGAGTTGTTTCATTTTTAGAGATGTAAATGTTCATTTCATTGTTACAGACAACGCACTTCTTTGTGTTACGCTCAGTGAAAAAATATTTTATGATCACTCCAATATGTTGTGACTGAGCAAGATTTTATGACTTGAGTCGACTTACTTGAGTTTTGTTTTTGTTTTATTGTAGGCAGCACCATTTAATAGAGCTTCAGCCATCCAAAATAATGAGTTGTTTTTCGCGGAGGATAAAGAATATATTCCTGTGAGAGATTTGGGGAAAGTCTGTCGACGTGTTGCTCCATGCTTAGTGTTCAATAGCCAATATCGATCCACTTTTTTTTTTTCTTCTTTTAAGAATTCTTCACGATCTGGTAAACTGTTGCTAATTTTTAAATGAGTCGAGTTTGCTCCCACCATATGACGCTCGTGTAAACGTGGCATTATAATGGGCCCATATTCTTATTTAATTGTCCCTGCGTTTGAATATTATCGCGGCTGGTTTTTGAACACATCAAGGAAAAATTGTGTGGAGATCAAATGACGTGGAGAGGCACAGCCGGCCCGCGGGCCTTGACTTTGACAAATTCAAGACTTCCCCTCACTTAACATTGACTATCTCTCCATCATCCCCTTCCTCCAGCCTGTCCCATTTGAAACGATGTGATTGCAAGTTTGGCGTGCAGATTGGGATCACGCTCGCTTCCTGTTCGCCTTTTTTTGCAGAAGGGTAAACTTCCCATCTGTTGCAGCCTCCGGGGGGAGGGGGGGACTCTATTGCATGGGTAGAATCGGGACATTCTGCAGGCTGCTGCTACGTTGGGACGTGATAGTTGGAATTGCGGGAAAATGGCCAGATAGAATACCGGTACTTCATTTTCCCCCGGGAGCTGTATGAGACGAATGGCACCTTCAAACCACAATGGCAGACTTCCTGTGTTTAACCCTTTCGGGGTCAGAGGTCACTACAGTGGACAGCTTATCATGTTATTAGGTTACAGGGTGCATGAAAGGGTTAAAAGCATTGCTTCTATATTGACTTTTTTTGCGGTGTGTGTGTGTGCATCCCATCATGCGTGCTGGGTTTCATGTCAATTGTGACAAATTAGAAATAAAGTGAGAAAAATGTTGGGGGAAAAATGTCTGGATAGAAGTCGAGCACGCAGTTATTGAAATGATCAAGTCCTCAGAGAGAGAAAATGGCCAGGAACATTTTCGCCAGGATACTAACAACAATTTGTTTGAGTTTGTGAGGAATGGTAAAAGCCTCAAAATGACGATTCATTTGCGGGAATGATTCCGTACTAAGAAATAAAGCCGACCTTCACTATTGCATGTCTGCAGGTGACCGTGCAATTCAGGCACAAATCAGTAGCTGATTACCTTCAGTGATTTGAGTGCATCCTGTCATGATTAACGTGCCTGCTGGATTTTGTTGCTGGCAGACATTCATATTGTCGAATGCTCCGGATTTTGGCGGAGGCTCCTGAAATGTGGGTTGAAGTCCTCCCAAAAGCAATTCACGTGTGTATTATTGCCAGAGTGCTCCGCAGCGTAGCAAAGGACGTTTGACAATGTACGCCTCTCCCTCCTCCGTTCACGACGATATAGCGTCTCAATTTCAGCGAGGAAACCCAAGCTGATGGTGTCAGAGGGGGAGCGGGCAGATACTCTGATATCTTAATGGAGCCTCAAACAGATATATAGCCACGCGCACACACACACACACACACACAC